GCCACCCCTCAGTTGAGGGGCAGAACCAGTTCCCCTACACCAATGCCATGAGGGTCATTTCTCCCTCACCCATGATGAGGGGTGGGGAAATCTCTCCAAAGTGGGGTGGCAAGCTCGACGTTATAATTGGGGCCAGCTCTCTTACTTCAGTGTCCAGTAAGGGGCAGAGCCAGCGACATCGTGGTCAGTGAATGGTGGGGCTGGCTCAATAAGCTCTCTGTTTTCATCATGAACATATCCTGTGGCCCCCTGAGATGACACAGGCCATAGACATCAACACAGACCACAGCTGCAGCAGGACCATGGACTTAGACATGGCCTTCTACAGCAGCTTGGGCCTGGGTGACATCCTGGCTCTTGCTGGAAACACAGGCCACTCAGATCAGAATGGTAGTGGCATGGCTCCTGGACACCAACAAGGCCACAGGTTGCAGCCCCTATTCCAGGCTTCTGTGCAACCTTGGGTGGCAACACAGACCCTGGTTGTGCTGGGACCATAGACTCAGACATGGTATTCAGCAGCAGCCAGGTTGGATGTCACCATGGCCCCAGACGGTGGTACAGGTCACCCAGATCATCATGATACCAATGAAAGCATGACCCTCAGATACCAACATAGCCCCAGGTGTTGGCTCAGATGCCAGGAATCTGCATGACCTCATGGTGAAAGAATCCATGGACATCTATAGAGACTCCGAATGCAGTAGTGCCATAGAACCAGACATAGCTCCCAGTAGCAGCCCTGGCCCAGATATCAACATGGCACCAGATAACAGAATGTGCCTCTTTGGTCTGTATGGCCCCAGATGTAGCATATCTAAGAGCACCAACATGGTCCCAGGCGGCTGATCAGACCTCAACAACCATACAGTACAGTCCTCAGTTGCAAGAGGAGCCACAGACATTTACTGCTGTAGGGCCAGGGACCCAGGCATGGCTCCTACTTGCAACCCTGGCCCAGACAGCACCATGGCAACAGATAACAGAATATGCCACTTTGGTCTGTATGACCCCAGATGTGACATGGACCTTGGGAAACACCATACTCACAGGTTGGTTGGTCAGAACCCAGAAATTACACAGTCCTTGGTTGCAATAGGAACCACAGACATTTCCCAGATGCTGATTGTTATAGGGCCTTGGACCCAGACATGGCCCTCTGCAGCATCTCAGGCCTGGACGACACTATGGCCCTGGGTGGCAGCACAAGCCACACAGATCAGTGTGGCTATGGTGGTAGCACATCTCCTGGACACTCACATGGCCACTGGTGGCAGCCCAGACATTGGACAACTCCATGGATCTTTTTAGCAATGGGTCCATGGATGACTACACAGCACCTGGCTATGGTAGAACCGTTGAGTCAGACATGGCCCCTGGCAGTATTCTGGCCCAGATGCCACCATGCCTCTGATTGGCAAGAAGGACTCCCACATCAGCCTATTCCTCACCACATTAACCTGTTCCATGCCACCTCATTCCATAGCATACAGACCACTCCTCTCCCATTTATCAACTATACTCTTGCTTGTCACAATGGGACCCACCATGCTGGCCTATGGGTGTCTTGCATACACCTGAGCTAGACAGCATCAGAGGGGCCATGGAAGTCTTCCTGCCAATCCAGGTCTTGAGGACCAAGTCTGGCATGTGGGTGGTTTACACATACCTGAGCGGAACATCATCACTTAGGCTGTGGATTGTTGACCACTTCTAATTCTGTAATATTGTGAACTGATATTGTACAAAATAATGCAATTTCCTTTATTCTCATTAAGACTGCTTTATGACCTAAAATATGATGTATTGTAGAAAAATTCTGTAGGTTGTTAACAAGGGTATGTATTCCATAGTTCTTGGGTGAACTGTTATGGACTATGTTTTAGTTAAGGTTTTATTGCTGTGAAGAGACCCCATGACCATGGCAATTCTTATAAAGGAAAATATTGAACTGGGCTGGCTTACAGGTTCAAAGGTTTTGTCCCTTATCCTCATGATAGGAAGCATGGTGACACGCAGGCAGACATGGTGCTAGAGAGGAATCTTGGAGTTCTACATTTGGATCCCCAGGAAGCAGAAAAGACTGAGGCACACTGTCTCCAACAACACCACACCTAATTCAGGAAGGCCACATCTCCTAATAGTGCCACACCCTATGAATCTATGGGGTCATTTTCATTCAAATCACCACATTCTACTTACTGGGACCCATAGACTTATATCTTTATCATAATGCAAAAAAATGCATTTAGTCCAACTTCAAAAGTCCCTGTAGTCTATAACAATCTCAAACTTGTTTTAAAGTCCAAAATCTCTTCCAAGACTCATGTCAATTTCTTAACTAAAACTCCTCCACAATCAAAATGAAAAACGAGATCACATGCTTCCAACATATGATGGCACATGATATACATTACCATTCCAAAATGGAGGAAAGGGAGCATGGTGAGAAAAAACTGGACCAAAGCAAGTTGCAAAACAAGTTGGGCAAACGCTAAACACTTCATCTCCATGTCCAATGTCAAAACACTCTTCAGATCTCCAACTCTGTTCAGCTTTGTGACTGCAACACACTTCTTTCTCTTTGGCTGATTCAACTCCCTGTTAGCAGCTTTCCTCAACAGGTATCCTACAGCTCTGGCATCACCAACATCTTGGGATCTCCATGGTAGTCCAGGCTTCACATTCACAGCTTCATGTAATTGCCTCACTAGGCCTCCATTCAGGGACAAGCCTGAGACATGCCTGGCCTCAGATGCTTTCTCTTGTTGCAGAGGGAGATTCCATAACCTTCTATCCTTGACTCTAAACCTGGAACCACATGGCCAAAGCTGCCAAGTTGCACTGCTTGCTGGCACAGTAACCTGGTCCCCTCATTCAAATATACCTTACCACCTTTCTGCTTTTGATAGTTTCCTTTACTGCCTAAGCTTGTCTGTCCTGAATCTCAGTATGTAGACAAGGCTGGCCTTGAACTTAGAGATACTCTTGCCTGTCTCATGAGTGCTGAGATGAAAGGAATGTACCATTAAGCCAGGATCTAAGCTATTCTTTCATACCTTTTCACAAGTTGAAAGCTTAGCTGAGCAGAGTTATTTCCTGAGGTTAGCATACCCCATATTCCTTTTAATATCAGGCTTTTCATTAATCTGCTTATATCCTTGAACACAGGACTTAGCTCCATTCCACTTCTTGGTGCCACTTTTCTCAAATTCTATGTTTTATAACTGTTTTTGATCAGCTTATTTCTTTTCATGTTAGATCTGCATAAGAGTGAACTCTAATAAGCACAAGACCGAGTTGGTACTAGGCTGTTTTGCGATTTTCCCTGCCAATGCAATTAATGCAAAACTCTTCAGTTTAGGTCCAGGCACAATTTCTTGGTCAAGGGCAGAAAGCAGCCATAATCTTCACCAAAATACCACAAGAATAGTGTCTATGCAACATACTTAACATACTTCTCCTCTGAACCCTCTTGAGCCTGGCCTCCACAGTTCAAGTCACCCTTAGCATCACTGTCTTCTACTGACTAGAAAAACACTGATTAGCAAAACCAGTCATAATGGGAGCTGAAGATGAGTGGATACTATTTTGGCTTCCTGTTTCCATTTCATGAAACTGAAATGCACACTGGTGAACAATTGTACCAACCACTGCCATGCTGCCATCAGCAGCAAGCTAAATATGTTTAAGTCAACTGCTTACCTCCTACCAGTCTGATTATTTTAAGCTGTTGATGCCCCAGATGGTTTCCTGGATTAAAACCTTGTGCTACTATGGGGAGATAAATGCTCCAAGAATGAATGGTATGATCTTGGTGAGTTTATTGGGTGATTTTCTTCAAATCCCTTGTGTGAGGTTAATTTGTAAGGTTTTCTGGATGGTTTCCCTGGGTCTGGAGCTCTGTCTTGGCATTCTCAGATGATTTCATCTACATGAAAGTCTCTGTCTACAATAAGAAGTTATCCAGAAGGATCCTGTGATGCAAAGTTTTCTTTATGGGTACTGTTCATGCTAAGCTACTGATAGCACAAGAACAACCCTGTATTCTGCACCCTTGGTCGGTGTGTGAAAGAAAAGCATTCTTTTCTTCAAATGTCTCTGTGACTTCAGGAGTTAGAGATGGAAGCCAACTGAGAATGTCTGTATGGGGAAGTGGAGTGGAAAGAAATCTCTAAATGATGCTACCTGCCCAGTTTCACTGCCCTCTTTTCCAGACAGTTTGCATCCATGTATAGATCTCAAGCTCTTCCCAGGGGTTGGGACACTGTTCCCAAATGGAGGTGCTCTCTAGCTTCCTCTACAGCACAGGCCACACTTTTCATGTCAGAGACCTGTTCCTTTGCATGTAGGTACAAGTCACAACCAGAACATTTACTCCAAATTTTCAACTACTCTTGAACTAATGGTTCATTTGCTCATTTGTTAGAGTTCTTCACTCTCCCGTGTAACCCTGTAGAGAACAGACACTGGTGACATAATTACAAATATAGACGTGATTGATGTCATTCAAGGCTTTGTCCTTCTAGTTTTCAAATTTTAAAATAAAGACTCAGCACTTTTAGCATAAGAAATGTGACCCTTCACACACAGGACTTCATAAGAAATCCCATTCCCTTCATGACTCTCATTCATGATTCCATTTTCCCCATTTGGTAGACGCCTTACAGTGCCTGAGGGCAGCTATGGCTTGTGCCAGGATCTCCCATATTCCTACACCTGAGAAGGAACTACAGCCCTGGAACAGAAAGAAAGTTTGTTTCAGAATTCTTTCTCATCCTGACACAGCATAAAATTCTTAGCAACTGTACTAGGACCATGGATTACCCCAGCATCACTAGAGTCATTGGTCTGCAGATAGACTGAATAGCACAAACTGGATTTAAAGAAGTTTCTAGCACTGTATGGGTTTGATAAATTATTTAATCTCTGCAAGTCTGTCTCCCCCTCCTTATGAACCTGTGCCAGACATTCCCACATAGCCAGGTAGTCTTGACAGAAAGTTTCATGTGTTCATATCTCAACTTACTTTGCAGGAACACCAGTGCAAATTCCTCAAGCATGGGTCCATCCATCCCAGCCTGGATCACTGACAACAACTCAACAATTAATAGAAGTTACTACACTGAAAGATTACACTGTGTCACCATTTACAAAGTCTTCAGTATTCTTTCTGTCATCATTTGCATGGTTGGGCTGGCAGGAAATGCCATAGTACTGTGGCTTCTGGGCTTCCATGTGCACAGGAATGCCTTCTCTGTCTATGTCCTCAACCTTGCTAGGGCTGACTTCTACCTTTGCTTACAGACTGTGTTTTTCATGGAATCAGTTCTTCGTATGTTCAATGTCAGAAACTTTTATCTTCCATACTATCTCTGTAATATAACAGTCATTCCTTACCTTGCAGGTTTATGTATGATTGCAGCCATCAGTGTTGAGAGATGCCTGTCTGTTTTGTGGCCCATCTGGTATCAATGCCAACGACCATGGCACATGTCATCTGTACTGTGTGCACTGTTCTGGGCCTTTTCTCTACTGTTAAGCTTCCTATTATGGATTGGTTGCAGTTTACCGCTGAGACATTATGGATATTCTTTCTGTGAGAATGCTGCTTTTACCATTGTTGTACTTATAATTGTACTATCCATAGTTCCTTGTGGATTCAACCTGGCCCTGTTGGTCAGCATCTTCTGTGGCTCACAGAGGATTCCTGTGACCAGGTTGTATGTGACAATTGCAGTCACAGTGCTGGTCTTCTTACTCTTTGGTCTGCCCTTCGGTATCTATTGGATACTTCTCCTTTTGAATGAGACATTGCCTACAGTTTTCTCTTGCAATAGCTACGAAATTACAGCTTTCCTATCCTGTGTTAACAGCTGTGCAACCCCATCATTTACTTCCTTGTTGGCTCCATTAGGCATTGCAGGTTCCAGAGGCAGACTCTGAAGATGCTTCTGCAGAAAGCCATGCAGGACACTCCTGAGGAAGAAGATCGAGAAACTGGTTCTTCAGGAAATGCTAGACAGCACGAAACAGCCTTGTGTAGTAGTTGAGTGAGTCCTTGATGAGACACTGTTGCTAGAGTTTTCCTGCCTGGCCCACAGTCAGGAAAAGTCTCTCTCACCCGCCAGTCCCAAGCCGCTTAAACCCGATCAAATAAACACAGAGACTTATATTGGTTTCAAACTGTATGGCCGTGGCAGGCTTCTTGCTAACTGTTCTTACAGCTTAAATTAATCCATTTTTATTAATCTATACCTTGCCATGTGGCTTGTGGCTTACCGGTACTTTACATCTTCCTTGTCCTGATGGCGGCTGGCAGTGTCTGCTCACTCAGCCTTCCACTTCCCTGCTCTATTCTCCTCCTTGTCCCGCCTACACTTCCTGCCTGGCCACGGGCCAATCAGTGATTTATTCATTGACCAATCAGCAACACATTTGACATACAGACCATCCCACAGCAAGACACAGTTGCTTTGAGAATCAACTTAGCCTTTATTTGTGTGGGTCATTTTCACAACCTTGTTCAATTAGTTGAGAAAATAGTCATTTTGTAGAAATTGGGTGAAATAAGGCTTGCTAAACAGAAACTGACTCCAGCACCCTAAAGCTGCCTTATGTAGACCTCACCACATCCCATTGTGATGTAATCCTTTTCATCAAATCACTTGAGGCCAGAACAGCTACCACTAGAGACCAACCCCTCCCAACAAAGAAGGCCCAAGACAATGCAGGGAAGTCAGAATTTTTTTTGTTATTGAACATGATAAAGATTAAATGAATACTGTGTTTAATAGATATGTTCTTATTTTTTACAAGTTGTTTCCTAATGGTTAAGAGAAATAATTGAAATTTCCCTAATTACAGTGACATTCAATATCCTCACACTTTTTGATTGTATTATAATTTTAAACTGTTTCTTATATAAATTGCTTAGTAAACAAATATGTATCTTTAAGACTGCCTATTTAGAATTTACCCATTTGAGTCTAGAACTTCAAATATCTGCCATCTTCAGAATTTAAAGAATAAGATCAGGTTATATGCATCAACAACCAAGCACACTTCAAGGTAGAGAGAGACTGTCTCCAGTTTCCCCCTTTCCCAATACCTTGGTTAGCATTCCATGGTCATGTCTTCCCTCTTCTTCCCTGTCTTTGCCCTGACTCTCTCTCTGTGACTGTCTAACCCCTCATAAAAAATTTCCAGTGAGTGTCATTGAACTTAATTCCTCTTGAATTGAACCTCTGTCATATTTACATTATTCCCAAAAGTGCATAGCATCCATAACTTGAATTATGAATCTTTACATTTTCTTTTAAAAATGAGTCAGGAGTATTGATGCTTGATGTGATTGTTTAATTGTTTTCTTCCATTGACAGTTTGTATAGTATTTTCTGGAACCAAGGAAGCCATACCACAGGAGAGAGATCAGCTCAAGCTCAAATCATCTGAGTCCTTTGTCCTAAATGTGAGGTGTCTTCAGCAATAGTGGCCTACCCTAAACCACTAAGAAATGACCCATGGTTACATCTATAATCTGTATTGTTTTCAGAGTCACAGGGACTATCCTGACCAACCATTTAAAAGGAGGTATCTCATGCCTGGAACTGGTTCTTTGGGTTTATTGTCAGCCTAAATGGCTTAACTACCTTTAAGATGTATGTGTAGAAATATATATATGTATATATTATGTTTGTATACATGCATATGTGTTTATACGTGTATACATGTACATGAATATATGCATAAACACATATACATATATATTCACGTATGTGTATAATTTCAAGGAAATATAAAATAATATAATTCCTTAAGGCCCTAACAAACAACCTTCCTATTATTTGTTCCTTGTCCCTATTCTTTCTTCTTTATTGACCTGCCACCCTCCACACAAATCAGACCCCCTTCTCATTATTCCAATTCCCACTTCACATCATATTTATCCTGCCATTGCCTCCCAAGCCCGCCAACATATGGTCTCTTTATACTTTTCTGGCCTGTGGTAATTCCATGTTGTGCAAATATGCACATCTGAGAATTCGGAGCTAGGAATTACAGATAAGAAAGCCTGTGTGGCATTTGTCTTTGTGGACAGGTCTACATTTGCAAAACAATTAAGGCAAACAATTGATAAGTGAATCTTCACAAAACTAAAAAACTTCTGCACAACTAAGGAAGCAATCAGCCAGGTAAAGAAGAAACTCACAGGAGAGAATCTTTGCCAGTTACACACCAGATGGAGGATTTATATTCAGAATATAAAGAATTTCAAAAATGAAGAGTCCAAAAACCAGATTACCATTTGAAAAATAACTGAACAGTGAGTTTTCAAGAGAATAAATAGAAATTGCTAATAAAACCTTGAATGTCTTTATCATCCTAATCAATGAAAAGAATGCAAACTAAAACAACTTTGACATTTCATGTTGCCCCAGGGCACACATTTCAATTCAACATCAACAAGAACAACAACAAAAAACAACAACACATACACAAACACACACACACACAAAAGAACAAAAAATATTATCAAGGTTTTGGAAAAAGCAGACTTCTCCCTCATTCATTCTTGCAGAAATGTGAACTGGTGTAGCCACTCTGGAAAATAGGATGGAGAATATGCTCCACCTATACTACTCATAGGCATATGACCAAAGAACTGAACAACCTATTCCACAGATGTTTGTTCACCAGTGTTCATTGACACCGTCTTCAAAAAAACTGGGAAATGGAAACAACCCAAATGATTTCCACTGGACGAATGGATAATGAAAATGTGCTACATATACACAATGGAATACTAAGCAGCGTTTTATGTAAATAAAAGTCTAAACCTAGAAAATATTACATGGAATGAGGTAACATTTTTCTATGAAATAATATTTCATTCTTAAATGCCACTGCATTTGGTAATTTAAAGTATAATTAAGAAAAGGTGATATGCACAGATTAAACAAATGCGTAATTCAATAAATTTGCTTGGATAAATATAACTACCTGACTCAAAACCCAATCAAGACACAAAATACTTCCTTGCCTCTGTGAGTTCCCTCTGTTCCTGTAGCCATAACTATGACTTGGAGAAAAGTACTTTCCATATTTGCAATTCAATGTAAAATTGAGAGTGTGAACTAAGAGTATCATCATGTTCTGTGATATGTGATGAAAATGGTTAAGTTTCCTTTTCCTCCATATAGCAAAAACTGCTTTAGGAAAAACTCCTGAATGTAATGCATTATTACCACATAGTGATCTTGGGTTGGAAATTATTTCTATTTCATCTTATGATTTTGTTACTTCATATTTTTTACACATTTATTCAATGGCTATTACCACAAAGGTTTAGTAACCACCATTATATCATGCAGTCTGCCTGTACATATTGACACTTTAATATACGTTCCATATGTAAATGAGGTTATTCAATAGTTTTCTCCTTATGTTGATCTTACTTCCAGTTGAGTTAAATGGTGACTCCATTTAAATTAAAAGTCAACTAACATATGTATCTATTTGAGGAAGTAGTGGGTTTCCATATAGCTTTTCATAAGTCTTATATTGTTATACTTAACCTTCTCCAATTGCATCCTCTATACTGCCTCTTATTGAACTTGGGCTTCTGACATACTGTTAGAAATGTAAGCATCTTGTGACTCTTGAAAATGAACTACATAAGTTTTACATTATGAAATGTGCATGACACTTTGGAATAGAGGGCAGAATGCTAAGGTCTGAGTATCAAAAATCTTCATATGCTTATGCTTTAAATGTTTATTTTCCAGCTAGTAGTTCTATTTTGAAATTATACAAAGATTAGTTCCTAACTATTGGTCATAACTCCACCCATATTGTAGCCAAGGATAAGAACTCCTCACTTTTGACAGTTGAGGTGAGGAATGACATGCTGTATGTGATTGTCACAATTTCATAATCCATTTATCTGTTGTTGGATGCCTAAGTCTCCCATGTACTGAATCCTGTAATTAATGTTCCAATAAACATACAACACTTTCTTTTTATTGGTGGTAGAGATGCCTTTGTCAATTATTTTAATTTAATCTGATACATCTATATTTCATAGTCAACATCTGGAAACAATCTGACTTTCAGGTGTTTTGTTATCTTTTTCTGAAATTCAGTACTAAAGTCACTCTGTTTCAGTTAGTATGTGACATGAAGAGAAGACAGATTATTGTGGCTCATGGTTTGAGTGTGTGATACATGATTTAATGGCTTTGTGAATCTATGTAAAATGTAATGGAGGTGGAAATATGTAAAAGGGAAGGAAGCTCACATGATGGAAGACAGAAAACAAATGTGACAGGAAAAGGCCAAAAATATATATTAAAGGAAACTTTTCAGAGTTTATCACTGAGAGAATTCATGCAGGTACTAAAAAAACTAGGGAGGGATACAGCTTGCTGGCTTCTCCACTTGGCATCCCAGAGGTGGATGCTTAGATAACTTTTTTTTGGAATTATTGAGACAGGGTTTCTCTGTGTAGTTTTGGTGCCTGTCTTGGATCTCACTCTGTAGACCAGTCTGGCTTCGAACTCAGAGATCTGTCTGGCTCTGCCACCCAAGTGCTAGATAACTTTCTTATAGGGCTCCAGACTACTAGCCAAGGGAATGGCAATGTCCTAAGTAGGCTGAATCCTCCTACCTTAATTAACAATTAAGATAATCCCTCAGAGATATCTCTATAAGATAAACTGATGAACTATTCAATTGGCATTTATCTCAGGATCCTATTCTTTGTCAATATGTGAATTTGATAACTAGGACATTCCATTTGTCAACTTGCCACACAATCATTTCACTTAAAGCCATAATTTTTCTATTCCTTGTCCCTGAGCTCTCATTTTAACATTACCAGATAAAATACAGTAAAATTTCAAAGTCCCATACTTTTGAAATTTTTAAGCAATTAAATATGCAATAACTCTTTAATAGTCAAAAGTCTCTTAACTCTAAGTCTTGAAAATAAAAAACAGACAATATATGTCTTGTTCAAAAATGAAAGAAGTGAAGAATAGAAAATAAATGA